GCGCGTCCGACCAGTCGCGACCACGCGCGCAAGCCGCCAAAGCATGCTCCTGGCCCGACGCCGTCAGTCCAACGGTCGGGTGCGGAGGTTGGCACTGGCTGGCAGGGGGTGGAGGGCAGAAGCAGAGCTGCCCTCCCTGTGCTGCTGCTTGTACCGTCTCGCTTTTGTCCTGCCAAGCCACCTTCGCCCTGCCTTTGCTCTTCACCTCCTCCTCTGCCTCAGCAGGCAGGCTCCCTGGCAGCATCCTTCCCCCTGGCTGGGTTCTGGACCCGGCCAAGCTGTGTGCTGCACTGGCGTGGGCTGTGCCCTGTCTCCCTCAAGGCCTCCTGCCTGGGACCGAGCACTATCTGTGATGCTTTGAGAACTGCTCTGTCCTCCTCGGCATCAGGTAGAGTAGAGGACGTTCCCAGTGAGGGAAACGGCATGAGTCAGCTCCGATTTTTCATGCTCTCCACAGGCAGAGAGCAGCGGGCTGTGCTGGGCAGGGTACGGACACTGCACTGGGGCTGCCAGTGTAGCTGGCAGAGGTGCCCACGGCTTTGCCCTCTGCTCCCCCCACTCTCATCACTTTTAGATCATCTCTCCCTGCCACAGAAATGCCTCTTGTTCAAGCACTGCAAAAACACTCTGTGCTTTGAATAGGACTCTTGAAGGCGAGGCAAGGTGCCAGGCGCTGACAGCCATGGCAGGGAGGGGACAGCTAGCCCTGCCAGGCAAACCCCGCTCTGCTTTCGGGGACCAGCCCTTGCGCAGACCCGGTGCCAGGTGAGTGCCTGAAGCTGGGGCTCCCTTTGCCTGCACCCTGGCCCTGCATGTGGTTGCTGGAGCTTGGGCACGCGTGTGTGGCAAGACCCTGCCTGCCACAGGCTGGTGTCTGCCCTCCGCAGCCAGCCCGCAGCACTTTATGGTTTTAGGGTTTTGGAATGTCATCCACCCTTTGCTTGTAAATGCAGGTGGCTTGAGTGTTCCCTGGGAAGCGTGCATCCTGGGGACATGTCACGGGGTGCCCTGGCACAGGGCAGGGGACCTGGGCACCAAGTCGGGGTGGGCACCGCAGTGCTGATCCTGGGGCTGCCCTTGCCGCGGCCTGTCCCTAATCCCCTGACACCCCCCGCAGAGCACCACGCCCCACCAAGATGGCGAGAGCCT